TATCATCTATTTATCAGTATCTGTCTATAAAGAAATATAGATCTCATCCATCTCCCATATATGGGAGATGGATACATATATTGGTTGATGGGTAGATGACACAGATGATAGACAGCTATCTATCCATTTGTTCCTCTAGACTCCAGAGTTACAAATCTCTTCCCCAACCACCTAATACTGATGACCTGTATAAATCACTTCTGGGGCATGGTTCATGGGCATCTCTCTGATGTCCCAAAGGGTCTTTACACTTTGTACCACCACCATATTTCCAACTCAAGTGGTTTTCTATGATCTAACAACCTACCCTGTTCCTCTTCTTCCAGTCAATGTCAACCCTCCTCTGTTTGTACCATCCATTTCTTGCCCTATGACTCCATCTCTACTCTTTTTGACTCTGTGCTCTTTCTTAATACTCAGGCTGTTGACTTTGTTTCCCTTGCCTAACAATATTGGCCACAATGGTTTCTGGATTGTGTTGAACATGTACTATGTGTTAGTCATGGTGCAGGCAATTACATGAGTGATTCTATTAAATTCTCATCATACTCTTACAGCAAAGATGCTATTACTACCCCCAGTTAGAGACGTGTAAACTATACTCATGGCACTAGACAAAGTATGACAGGCCGAGAATATAAATCAAACTTAAAACCAGTGTTCTGACCTACTTTGGTAAACTCAACATTTAAAAGCTTAGTGTTTTTACTCTTTAAAGAAACCTTTCCAGTTTCTCCTCTTCTCACACACTCCCAGCTCTCTCCACCTATTGCAGGACATATTTATTATTACCTACATATTGCTCCTTTATTAGTTCCCTTAGCAAGTAGATTTCATAAGTGTTCTTTCAAGGTCATATGGCTGTTTATCAGCAGTGAACGAAGTCAGCCTAGACCGGCTTTCTAGAGAACAGTTCGAAGGCGAGGCTCTAACCAAACAACCACATAAATGTACCATAAAATTGAAAATGATAATCTCTATGGAGAAGACCTTTCAGCAGAGGGTAATGCATTTGTCTCTAGTTTTCATGGGAGTACATGTAAGACATATTGATTTTCTCATTGTGAACTTGCTTGCAACTTGATAGGCATTAAGTATGACATTAAGACATTAAAGGAACAAGTTAGGCTAGAAATTGCATTTTAAATCAGATATTACAGTCAGCCTATAGAAAAGAAACTGCACAAACTTTTGATCTTATAGCATGAGTTTCATGGAGAGAATATTTTGAAGGAAGAAAGTAAAACTGATTTGACAAGGTTGTCTCAGTGTAAATTTCTCAACTCAGGAAAGCGCTTATTCAATATGATATGAATTTGATGGTGTTTCGAACACAGTGCACTTTATTCAAATTATACAAACTGTTAATTGGGGTCCTGGAAGGACAAATGAGCACCAGACTTCTGATTACTGGTAGTATCTTCTATCTGTCCTATTGCCATCTGTTTAGTACAAATATTTAACAAATGGTCTTTATATATTTAAAAAAAAAACTATACAAAGGAAAGGCTCAGATACTGCATTTTAGATCTTAGCTTCATGTGAAAAACATTCACTGAGCTAGAAAATGACTGAAATTTAAAATCAATTTTTAACCTGCTGTCTTAAGTGTGTCTAACTTGATAGCCAAAACCATAATAAATGATCAAAGTGACATCTTAGAACAAGATACTACAACCCAGTAATTCAAGAACAATACTCCCAAAATAAATAAACACAATAAAGGACCTGTTGATAGGTATAAAACTGGCCTAGGGATATAAATAACACCATAAAGAGATAGTAAATTACTCAGACACATTAGGGATTACAGACAACCTTTTTTAGTTGTAAACTTATTCCACTATATCAAATTGGAAGTGGAGTTGGTTATTGGGATAGATGATTGAAATACATCAAAATGAAGAGGAAGAAGAAAAAAAAGTCTACTTGCTCACCTCAAGTATCAAGACCTTAGTGTCAATTTACAATGCTACCCTGCAAACATGTATGCCATGGGACTTTCTGGAATGACCATGCCAAAGTCCTCCTTATCTCAGTATCGAGATACTTTTGAGCATGCAAATCAGGTAGTGCTAAGGCACAGCTTGGAATTTAGTGATGCTATGTGAACATTATGCTAAAGTAGTAAGAAGCACTGCTTCAGGAATTACTGGAATCATGCCTCACACTATGGGCAGCATAGAACAGGGAGATTATATGTCTCTTGGCTGTTGGAGAATAAACAGGGGCAACAAACATGATCATATCCACGTTTGATGGCAGCCTGGCTGCTGTTGAAATCTGCAAAGTAGCTCTGCTTTGAGTTGTGCTGCAGTTTGGATCTGAAATGTCCTAATAGTCCATGAATGCTGGTGAAGCTGCTACCTACTGTGCTTCTGGTTGATGGAGACCTTTAGGCGGTGGGGTTGAGGGGATGAAGTTGGGTCATTGTGGGCCTTTCCCTGAAGAAATAGTGAGACCCAGACCCACCTCTTCTTTTTCCTTCCTCTGCCATTCTACATGTTGCTGCTACTCACCAGACTCCAAGACAATGAGGATAGCCAGTCAGTCATGCACTCAAACCAGAGGGCAATCTTCCTCCTTGTAAAATGAGTATCTCAGGCATTTTGTCACAGTGATACAAAGCTGGCTGACATATACCTGGCTTTCCATCCTGTCTCAAACCCTGACAATTTAAACTACTTCATCCTGAGCAACATTTACTTTCTACTAAATTTCTGCCCTCCTCAAAGCAACTTTATTCTCTTGGTCCACTTGCCCCCTGTTCCTTTGCTTAACTACAACTCAGCTGACAGACACTGGGAGATGCCCATCACTGGGATATATTATCCAAATACCTTTTCTTCACTCAAAACCACACACAGCTGAATATATACACAAGATGATAAATTATGTTTATCTTAACATGGCTTTGATGAAACAAGACATAATATTTTATTCTTACAGTAATTGTACCTTAAATTACAGAACTTGTTGCACATTTAGTAATAACATTACTGTTTAAATTACTCAAATCACTTTCACTTTGATGCAACTATGCATTCATGTTTTCATTACCACAAATTTCAAAACTGAGTAGTCTCATTTTATACATATATCTAATTCTAAAAATAATTGAGAAAAAAATAAAATATTCTCAGTTAGGGAAAGACAAGTCTACAACTAAACATCTCTTGATAACATTAATAAAATACAAGTGGAGTAGTTCCTCAAAATAACCTAAGACTACAAAGCATAAAATTAAAAAAGTCTATTAAGATTCAAGGTCTCTGTAGGTCATTGTTGCAGTTACACAATTTCATCATCTCAAGATGGCTAGCTTTAACAAAAGACTTTTCTGGACAGTTATGCGTTAAAGAGACAGGAGTACCCAACACCACAAAAAAACAAAACAAAACAAAAACTATAGCTATGAGTGTTGGGCAGCCTTGAGGCCAATTAGTCATGAAGAGACTGACTAACTAAGCAGGACTCTAGCTCCCCACTGGCACAGTGGAGGAAAGGAAAATTCTAGATAAACCACAGTCTCCTTAAGGCTACGGGATGAATAATGGAGTAGCCATTGTTTCCAAGACACAGCACAGGGCAGGAACAGCCCCTAAATGGAGCGGCTGTGATGGTGAAAGAGGGTACCATTCAGCAGCCTCATGGCCTCATGCTGGAAGTTCTCTACTCTGCTCCAGGCCAGACTCCTACTGAGGTGCAACATATTGCAAGATGATTGTTCTGGGCAGGGCTGCTGCACTCTTGTATCTCAACAGCTCTCTAGGCTGCATCTCACAGCTCAGCCTATGGTTCCTATTCCTGGTCTTGTCCTCTGTGGCAGCCTCTGTACTCTGCCAGTCTGATTTCTCTCTGACGCCCACAGAATTAAATTCCAACTTGTGACCCCACGGTACAAGACTCAGCCTGGCCTGCACTTACACATCTTCCCAGATGCCTCTCCCTTCTTTCCCCACCTGTTCCCAACACACCCGGCCTCAGCCTTGGGGCCTAAACATTGACTCATGCTTTCTCTACCATGCTTTCCTCTGTGTCAGCCAGAACAATTCCTTCTCCAGGAAGCCGTTCTTACCATCCTAGCTAGTGCCTACCCAAGCACTCACTTACATACTCTTATTACATATGTCCCTTCTACAACAGATTGCATCTTAAGCACCACCCCCAGATGTCTAGATGGTAAATAAATGCTTGTTCCTAGGGGGGGACTAGTGAGAGATGGTTGAGTTTTAGGAGGCAAGGCCTAATGGCAAGCCTTCAGATCACTGAGGCTATGCCCTTTGAAGGGAAATTGAAACTCCAATGCCCCACCCCCCTTTGCTGTACAACTACAAGATGAGTGTTTTGCTCAGCTGGTTCTTCTACATAGGCCCAAATGAATCAGACTAAAGTTCCCTAGACTAAAATGTCTCCAGCTGATCAATAGATAAAACAAACCTTTTCTCTCTATAAGTTGATTTTTGTTACAGTAACAGAAAATTGGCCAACACACCCTAATGAGACTTTTGAGGCAGGGACAGTGTCACATTTGTTTGTTACCTGATGGGAGTAAATGCCAAACATTCTGTAGTTGGCAAATAGTGAATGAGTGATATTTTATACAACTTTTGCTTATAATAAACAAAGGATGAAGAAATAAAAATTAAGACCAATGAAGAAGTCAAGCTCATTATTTAAAAATGGGGTGGGGACAACTATTTACTTAGCACTTAGTAACAGTTATGACTGTGACTCTAAAGCTTACCCTTCCATTAGGTCATTAAAAAAAATTTCAACATGATTAAGGTCAAAGAGAAAACTTCAGTTAAATCCTCCAGGGAGATCTCTTCGCATTGGTCTCCCCAGACCACATGTTAGAATCACCAGCAAAGTCTGCTTACCTGGGGCTCTGGATTAAGGAATAGAAGGAAGCCCAGGCCACACCCACCACTAGTAGGCCTATCGTGGCTGCTCCCATCCTGTGACCTTTAACCTACTGCTCAGGAAAGCATGCTTACTTTGTATCTGCTTTCTGATCTGGAAGGAGTAGGGATATGTCCTTTTTTCTTAAAGGTTGTGAAGTGTTTGCACTGAGGACACGGCTTGGTGCTGGAGTCAATTCGGCCAAGTTCCAAGAAGTACTTATACTTGATGGAGTCTTCATGAGTCAAGTTGTAGACGACAGTAGTTTCCTCCAGGAATTCAAAACACTCTGTGATGGGGCATTTGATTTCTACTTGGCCAAGTTGTACCTTTGTGAAAGGACAGAAGGAAAAGAAAAAGACCACTGTTTATTGAGGTTGTTTGTTGCTTGTTTTTGCATACAGCATTAATTATCGATTGCTTTCAAGACAAGGTTTTCAGCTCTCTTTCCAGATAGCATAAGGAGTTAGTCATTTTCAAACCTACATTGAGTACCAAAAACTGTGATCTGTAGGATGCTTAAGGGCTCTCTGACAATTATGTTTGTGAACTTATTTGATGATCCACAGGCATATTAAAGACGCAAATGACCATCTCATTCATATATATATATATATATATATATATATATATACATATCTATATTGGAAACTGCAGGGTGAGAGAGCATACAGGCAGCAAGCCAGCTGTAAGTCGTCAGATGAGTCAGCATCCTGGGATCCGACAACCAAAGGCATTTCAGAGATCTCAACCTCACTGCACTGTTTCAGCACTATGCTTTGGGCACATCTTTAAAAAGAGAAATCTTATGAAGTGTTTATGTTTAATAGCTATTAGTTTATAAAAATAATAACCCAAAATTAATGTTTTCTTTGGCCCTTCCCTTACAAGCACATAAACAGCTCTGATGTTATCACAATCTTAGAAGTAAGAAAAGAAAAACAAGAGAAGCCTGGGTTGCTGAGATGGCTCAGCAGGCATAGGTGCTTGTCACTCAGGTTGAGTTGTGAGTTCAATCCCCCAGACCCACACAGTAGAAGGGGATCAACTTCCAGAAGTTGTCCTCTGATTCCATGTGCACACTTTGGCACAAGTAAGTCCCCTTCCCTACAATACACCAAAAGAATAAATATGAAACAGCTAAAAATACATTGGTGGTGTTAAGACACAGTAAGTACAATGGTAAAATCTGGTTGTAACTAGGAGCATACTTAAATGAATATTATGAAGATACTTAGAAAATAAACCTGTTTGTGACACATTTTCTACAACTTTAATAGAAAATTATAGGGTGATTTATATTTTAACAGTATACTAATATGCTGGCAAGGGTATTTATTTAAAGCCAGCCAGATTCTTCTACATTATTATCAGGTTAGCTCATGGCTTTTCCTGGCATTACCATGTCCTCCCAGCTTCCTTCCACTTTTCACTTCTTACCCATCCCCCCACCCTCAAGTTTGTATCTGATGAACAGCAAAGTTGAAAGTGAGTTTAAGATTCTTTAGTTTTAGTTGCTCTTTCTGGCATGTTTTTTCTCTTCTCCAGACCATGTGACTTTTTCCCATTTCCACCTCACTCTTCCTGTGCTCTTTTCTCTTGTGGGTGGATTAGGGTTAGATTTCTCAGAATGTCAGAGTAGCATGGCAAAATCAGAGAGTTGTAATTGTCATGTGAGTTTCCAATGCCGCCCTTTGTCACATTGTGGGGTTGGGGGCAAGGAGATTACAGTGCTGTGGTTACTTTGGAAAATATCCTAGTCCCTCTTTATTCAAGTTTCTCCATCTCTTAAAAATGAGTTGTGTTAGAATTTTCTGTTTTAATCATTTTCTGTCATGTTTATTGTGTGTGGCATCTAGTTCCCATTTCAAATGCTAAAGGTAGTATCCTTCTCTCCCAATCTAGCTCTGTGGTCTTCTTGTTAAATTAATGTACATATATTTAAGTTACACCTCAGGAAAGAGGTCCTTATAAACTTTTCATAGAGACAAAAATAACCACGGAAGAGTAAGAGTTTGTTTGGGTTTATGAAAATGTTTAAAAATGGGGGGCTGGAGAGATGGCTCAGAGGTTAAGAGAACTGGCTGCTCTTCTAGAGGTCATGAGTTCAATTCCCAGCAACCACATGGTGGTTCACAACCATCTGTAATGAGATCTGGTGCTCTCTTCTGGCACACGGGCATCCATGGAGGCAGAATGTTGTATACATAATAAATAAATAAAATCTTTAAAAAATGTTTAAAAATGATAAGATGTTCCTTCTTTTAATGGTCTGTTGATATCTATGAAGCCCTGCTCAGAACAGGGCACCAAGTTAAGTGCTGAAGCTAGGCAGGTACCTATCAGGAATGAGGCAGTCACAGTCGGGACCCAGAGTGATGACAGTGTCAGTCTGACAGGGTGGTGCACGGTGTCACCAAAAGATGGGGAAGCTTGGTCACTTCAGACCTGGGAGGGTCAGACTAAGCTTCTTAGACTGAGTGAGGCTGAGTGGCAGCTTAAGATCAATGGGACTCAGCCAATAAGGATGAAGCTGCTCCACGAGGTCAAATGAACCAACACAGAAAAAGGCCTGGGGGCAAATGCAGAGCTCTCTAGTGCAGGAGTGCCGCGCTTTAGTCACCCCTACTGTATTGATTTACACAGCAAACATTCATGTGAATTACACCCTTAAAATGGGATTGAAAAATAAGATTGGACCCCAATGTCTGAGTGCAGAAGAGGCTGTAAACATGAACTTGGATCAGAGCACAAAGGCAGGGCATTATGATATCTGAGGACCCTGAACTTTTTTTCCTACAGAAACAGGCAAGTACTCAGTTCGTAGCACAGGGAGGCACAATTTCTCTCGTTTATTGGGGAGCAGCCCACTTTTGTGCTTAAGAGCCCAGATGACCTTTTCCCAGATTGATGCTTGAATTTACCCTTCCTCTACTTTTGTATTTCAAATTTTAACCAAATAAGTGGTAATGGTGGATGCAGTATGTTTATAGCTATCTGGAACAGTCACATCTTATGGAATGCCATGCACTTTGGAGAGCAGAACCAACCCAGGCATCCCGAGGACAAGGCTATCTTGTTACTCTTGGGTGTTTATTACCTGACCACACTGGGATGCCATCCAACATCCAACCAGGCCTCTGCTCTTCAATTTCAATGGTTCTTGGCTCTTTCTGCAAATCTATTCCATTTCCATGAACACCTTATTTCCTGTAGATTTCAAACTCTCTATTCTTTCTCAAAGTTCCGAAATCCTTACCCCACACCACTGAGCCAGTGACCTCACACAGCATTTTACTGATGACAGGGAGACATGGTGCACATATTACCCAATCGCCTGCTAGCAATTCCATCAGCCTGTCTCTACCTGGTCCTCTCTCTCTTCTGGCTTCCTTGGTGTAAGATGCCATTAACTTCTAGAAAAACTGCACAAAAGACCCTGGAAAAGTCTTCTGAGAGTTTAAGTTTCCTGGCCGACTCTAGACCTGCACGTTCAGAATCTGAATTATTCTCAGGAAGCCAATAATTGGCAGTTGGAACAATGAGTCAAGCCTTTCAATTACTCATACTTCCTCCTAAGAACAACACCTCCGTCTCATGCACAGTGTGACTAATGACCTATCTGACTCTTGGCAGCTACATGCGTATCGTTTTTTAGAGTGGTTGTCTCAAAAGATTATTAGACAAGCATCTTGAGTAAGCATTGCCTATTCACTTATCCAGTGATATATATTCTATTAATTCAAGGATATACTTAGAAAAGCCCTTTAACACTAAGAAAGTAAAAATTGTCCTACAAACAATAGTTGTTCAGCATTAAGTCTTGCTGGGTGGTATGTGGTATAATAGCATATCCTACAGTTAGTCATCTGTAGGACTGTGCCAAACTGTGGACTTCATAGGATAGGCACCATGAAGGACTCCTAGAAAGATAGATGAGAGTGGCTATGCTAGGCTTGTTGGGAGAGGAGAGAGAGAGAGAGAGAGAGAGAGAGAGAGAGAGAGAGGCAGCTCTCCACTGAGCCTGAGGAATTGTAATACAGAGAAACTTTCCACAGGCAAAGGAACCAAGGACTGCGGCTCTCAGACAGAAGGAATCTGATTTGCCTATGTTCAGAACACAGGCCAGCGGATGAAGTTTACTAAGCCAAGGACTTAAATATGTGGAATGAAGCTGGAGTGCCAGGTGGAATGTAACCTTGCTGATCATATTAAGAATTGCAGATTAAATTATAAATTCAATAGGAACCATTTCCAGGCCTTAGAGAAGGAGTAACTGCTCACATTAAAAACAAACAAGGAAGTATTCAAGGTCCTCTTGGAGAATGTAGCAGACAGGAGCCAAAGTGCAGGCTAAGAAAACAGCAGCTCTCAGCTGAAGCCTGGCTCCACCAGATGCCCAGGGAGCAAGCAGCTGATGAGTGAACTTGGGAAATTAAGGGACAGCCAGTGTGAATTTTGGAAGTGAGACCAATGGGATCTTTTTCAAATTGACAAAAGATTATCCATGTTTATGCTACACAACATGATACTTTAAAATATGGATACACTGTGGACTGGCTACATCTGGCTCCAATATTTATTATTTTACAATGGGAACATTTAAAATCCTACTTTCATATCAATCTTCAAGCTTATCATAATTAATTGTAGTCACCATACTGGACAATTGTCCCCTTGAATGAAATTTTGTATCCTTTGACCAACATTTGCCCAATAGCCAGTATGTCTTTCCCAGCGAGATCTGAATAATTATAGCTATTCCAGCCTCTCTGAATTCATCCTTTCTGGGTTCTAAATTGACTAAGATCATCTAGCATTTTTCTTTCTGTGCCTGCCTACTTCACTCAACATGTCACTCAACATTTGTTGAGTGTTGAGTCACAGATGACAGGATTTCTTCTTTTTCAAGGATGAAGTAGTACTCCAATGTGTGTGTACGTGTATTTATAAATATGACAATATACAGCAGTGGTTCTCAACCTGTACGTCGTGACTACTTAAGCAAACCTCTATCTCCACAAAAAATTACATTGTGATTCATAACAGTATCAAAATTAGTGATGAAGTACTAACAAAATAATCTTATGGCTAGGGTCTCCACAGTATGAAGATGTGGTGATATATTATTTATGATCTAATAAGCCGCTGAAGATCATCGAAGCAAAGCAGCCAGTCAGTAGCTCTCAACTCTACAAAGGCTGAAATGGAGATCCTGTCTTCACTGTGCTGGAAACTGAATCTCACATGAGACCCTTTGCTTCTTCCTTACATGCCCCTCTAGTCCTGGAATTAAAGGTGGTAAGCTTTTCACTCTTATACAGATTCA